GTTAAACCTTGATTGAAAAAGACAGTTCAAGCGATGCTCTATGGCAAAGCTTCTAAGGATTGTTCAGATATTTCTAGCCGTTTGCGTGTTATGGGCTCGTAAACTTTGACTGCCCGATAAAAGTCGACAGTTTTGCTTCTATCTTTTTAGAGGTTAGGAATTTTGTGTTAAACCTTGATTGAAAAAGACAGTTCAAGCGATGCTCTATCGCAAAGCTTCTAAGGATTGTTCAGATATTTCTCGCCGTTTGCGTGTTATGAGCTCGTAAACTTTGACTGCCCGATAAAAGTCGACAGTTTTGCTTCTAACTTTTTATAGGTTAGGAATTTTGCGTTAAACCTTGATTGGAAAAGACAGTCCTAGCGATGCTCTATCGCAAAGATTCTAAGGATTGTTCCGATATTTCTAGCCGTTTGCGTGTTATAGGCTCGTAAACTTTGACTGCCCGTTAAAAGTCGACAGTTTTGCTTCTATCTTTTTAAACGTTAGGAATTTTGCGTTAAACCTTAATAGAAAAAGACAGTTCTAGCGATGCTCTATCGCAAAGCTTCTAAGGATTGTTCAGATATTTCTAGCCGTTTGCGTGATATGAGCTCGTAAACTTTGACTGCCCGATAAAAGTCGACAGTTTTGCTTCTAACTTTTTATAGGTTAAGAATTTTGCGTTAAACCTTGATTGAAAAAGACAGTTCTAGCGATGCTCTATCGCAAAGGTTCTAAAGATTGTTAAGATATTTTCTCCAGATTCCGAGTTATAAGCTCGAAAAGGTTCGGCTTCTTAAAATTGGCTATTTTGGCTTGTAACTTTTAAGTCTAGAAATTTAAGCAAGAGGCAAAGACAACTCTGGATAAGATCTTTCCAAGAGGTCGTAAAAACTGATATCTGATCAAGCACCTGAAATGGGGCAAAGCTCTGCTTGTATCTGCGATGCTTTTGCAGCAAAATGCAAAAAAATAAATCAAGAAATTACGTACACACTTTATACACGATTTGTTAATTCACGCTGAACATTTGTTTGCTTTGCTGTCTTGAATTGGAATGAACTATACGCTTAAACCATCAAACATCGGTTTCAATGCGAGCAAATCAAGCTTCAATTACGACAAAGATTACATTACGAAAACCACGCAATCTCCGACCAAAACCGGCTGAAAATCACAAACCAAGCCCTCGTCTTGTCGCTTGCATCATCTCATATATAACCACATGTTTCCACAATATTTAATCGAGTCGTGTTCTACAACGATGTCCTTTATCGAGCCTCCGATTCGATACAGATGAGTGAAAAGCCCACACAGGTTCATTAGCATTCAGTGAAACAGAAACAGACTGGAACTGAGGAAGAGGATTCGAGAAAAACGCATTTATTTCAGTGGTCATTTTCGGCTATTTATTCTGCTTTAAACCCAAACAACCGACAGAAAATGAACGAAATCACTTGGCCGTCTGGTGCAAACACCTTGCACGTGCCCGTTCAGGCAGGTGGAAAGGTCGATTTCAACAAAGCCTTTACGAGGCCCAGACCAGATATTGTCTTATCAAACAGCAGTCGTTAAAAATTAATCTCAAGAAGACGGGTTTTCTTCTGCTGTGTTGTTTACTTAAAAAGCCGCTTAACAACTTAATGCCTGGATGTGAATGGCGTGCCATAGATAAGCCCAGAGTGTTTCAAGAAGGCTTCGATTGCCTGCAGCAGCAGGCGAATAATGCCAGTCTAATTTTAGCCCTCAGAGCCACACTTATAATGTACCGAAAGGTCACTGATAAAGGCCCAACCTGCTCCTTTGACCTTTGCCATTGTGATCAATCACTCGATTTCCTGACCTGAAAAGAAGACTATTTAAAAATCGGGCTCGACTGGCAGTCCAGTCACATACGCTGATAAAATCAGGCATTCATGACTATGAATGGTTGATGGTGTAAACCCTCCAAATGCAGCTTTTGAATATTCAAAAACTATTGCAAAACCATATTCATTACCCAGTTGGTAATGAATGCTTTATCCCCTGCTGTGTATGAAACGAGGGAACACATGATTAGTCTCTGTGTTTAATGTTTTCGGCAGGAACCCCAAATATTAGGGTGAACTGAAGGGATCAATATGGGACTTAACCTAAGCCAACTGTACATTGGCTTGTGCGGTTTTCTCTTCGGCTGGGTGTTGGCTGTGAGTTTGCTCGCTATTTTTAGCCAAGGGATGGCAATCAAGCAATTTCCAGATGGATTTACTTAGTCGACTAATTGGGCGACGGTAACAAAACAAACAAGTCAGGCGCTGAGTTTGCAGGAAATCTGCTGATGCAAAAACCCTGATACCAGCAGTTTTTTAACAACAAAACCCAGTAGATTGACGCCCAAAACAAGTGGCTCAAGCCCCTTACCTGCAGTTACAGTATCGCTTAGGTTGTACTTCTCCTTGGCTTTAGGGAAGTCCTTCAACTTCCTATTGCTCAATTTGAGGTCGCCGCTCTGGTTCGCCTCCTCTAAAATCCGCTCCAAAGACCTGGTTAGATGGTTCTGAATGTGTCCGTTTATAGTAGGAACCATCACTGCCATCGTGCATTTCACTTTTTGACTTATACACAGCGAATCATTCACATTCGATTAAGACCGCAAACATTACGGTTTTTCGCTGGAAAACGCTGGAAAAACCACATGAACCGCACTCAACAACCAAACGCTCCAAACTGAAAGAGAATGTCAACTTGTCAACTAGTCAGGGTGGCCAACTTCAAACGCGTATTACCGTACTAGCCATTTGAAAATACCGTATCTTACCGTACCGAGATTTTGAACCAGAAAGTCTTCAATCTGGATTGCATGAATCTCCATGCAATCACGCATTCGATATCAAACCACAAATACAAAACTCAAACAAAAAATATATAAATTAATATTTATGTTGGTAGCCATCAACCACCCATCAACAAAGTCAATGGTCGATTGAGTAATGCATCGTTGCCGTTAATTATTAACTCCCAATTAGTCAACACCATGTGTAGTTTTTCCTCAATGGATTTGATAAGGAAACAAAATCATTATCTTGACATTACATGCCATAAATATAACAACATGGCAACATAAGCTTTGGGATAGCTGGCGCTCAGGGGTGGATCCAGCTTTAAATTCCGGGGGGG